AAATGGTATACTTCGTGAACGCTGGAATTTTACGGGATTTGTAGTTAGTGATTAGCGACCATTCATTAAGGATATTCAGATGAACAGAACACATCGGACAATTTGGGCAGATTACGTGAACATCTGAGTTTTTCTTGCTAAAAATAATTATTTTTAGTTCAGTTTGTCTCTCCGTCCTGAAAATGTCTATTTTAATGAAAAGAAAATGACTGTGGAAAAAAGCTTTTTCTAATCAAAGGTGACTCAGGGGACTCTAGCTTAATTTTTTAGCACTGAAACTTTTTCTTACTAAAGTTTTTGCATTATACATTATTCGATGCAGTTTAATACGCTAATAGCGAATATGTTATGTATTTGGATCAAAAACACATTTTTCTCTGCGACAAAAAACAATTTTACGTAAGAGACTTTGTTTTTTCACCTAAAATCCATTCTTCAAGAACACGTGGATGAATGAACGTGGATCTATATACTGATCCTGTAGATGTATCCCAAAAGACAGCTATAGAGAGTTCAGGGCTGGAAACTAATTAAACTGGAACCGTAGAAGACATGCATTTTCTCGGACAACTCAGATTCAAATAACATGATTTTTTATCAGAATACTCGTGATTAATTGAAGATTTATGCATAAATTTACAAACGGTTTTAATGCAATCAATGTTTAACATGCCAGAAAGTTCGAGTTTTGTAACAAGTTGATTTCATCACTATTTATATTACCTGAGCTTTTTCAGTGCCATATGAGCACTACCAGAATATTTTTGGGAAAAGATCATCACTAGTTCGGAGAGTATCACTCATTATTCGAGACAAATTTTTATTTTTCGACGAAATGTTCGTGTCGTTTATCACTGTGCGGGAAATTTAAGCAATTCTAAACAGTCATCCCCAGATCGCACTCAGAAAATACTCGATTTTTTCTATTTTTCCTTTTGGAGAAGGAGGTGACCTCATCTTGTCCGCGGTAATCCTTCTCTTATTCAGTTTAGTCATTTTGCGCTTAACCGCACAAGCCCCTTTCTAAGACACAATTTGGATAAAAGAGATTATAGATTGACTCAATATCTCTGCTGTGATAGTACCATTGTAATATTAAATCAGTCTGACTATTGAAGCTCATAAAATGCGATTCTCCAGAACGTCATTGTTAGACGCTCGGATATGATGCAATGGCACAAATTTTTGATACACATCATTATTGCGATAGTTATGAATGTGCTGCTAGTGTTAGTTTAAACGCTGGCTTAGATCAAGAAGGTGGTGGAACTAGAGCTATAGAAGCTTTAGGTAAAGCTATTGACGATGGTAATGTTACAATGGATACATTAAATAACGCTGTTAGAAGACTACTTAAAACAAAGATTGAATTAGGCATGTTTGATCCACCAAATATGGTCGAGTTTAATAGTTATGATTTTAATGATATTGAAAATGAGGCGCACTTGAAATTAACTAGACAAGTTGCTCAACAATCAATCTGTTTATATAAAAATACGAATAATAATTTACAAAAAGCCCCGTTGCCTATTCAAAATTCGGCAATTAACAAAATTGGTTTATTCGGTATACAATCAGTACA